GGTTAAAGTGAAAGCAAGTGTCAAAACAAACACACATCTCGTGCCAGACGTAACCAAATTAAATGGGAGAGTTCACGGATATTCCAAAAAAAATCGCTTATAATATAGCTGGAGACGATTGCTTACCTCATCTTCAGGACTTTAAAACTGGAGCAGTTGTTCTATAAGAAAGGACATTTTTCAACGACCCCGATAGCATTCCACGTCTCGTCCGTATCTCTGTGCGTACGATAACTACTGATCCGCCCGTTATTCCTGTTGAGTCTTGATTATGGATCAGCTTATAAACCGAGCAGAAATTCCATGGGACCAGAGACACAAGCTGCACAGTTCATCTCGGTCAGAAAGATGATCTCAAGGGAACTTGAGCTAGAAATCCGCGATTCTTAATGAACGGCTCCCACGCCTCGAAAGAGATCGGTTTAACTGAATAACTATTATGGGCTGCATTCCTGTTTAACTGAATCACTATTATGACCTCCACTCCTGTTTCTCCAACGCCCCCACCCACCATCCGTGTCTCCTGATCACACTGCATTTTTTTATATATATTCTTAGTAATGAGCAAGGATTTGTGAAGGATATAGAAAAAAAATCAAAAAGATTTTCATTCCTCAAGGAGGTAAAAAGTGTAAGAGACTCCATAAAGAAGATCGAACACGGTGATGCTGTATGAGGCGTACCCTGAAATTTGTAAAAGGCTTTATGTCAGCTGTGATTCACTGAGTCCCTATTAAGCAGGGAGACTGCCGTACAAGGTAGGAACCGAGGAGTGAAAAAGACTTATTTACCTGACGTGACAGGTTTTATCATCCAGACGCAGGACAGAGACCGAACAGGCAGGCAGATGAGAGAAGTGTCAATTGTTATCAGTCCCAGGAAAGGAAGCAGGATGGTAACAGAGAGTAGCGGCAGGGACCTATTTTAGAGTGACCAGAAAATACCTCTCTGAGGGTGGCGTCGTTTGAGCCGAGACACAAGCAAGAGATTCATCCCCGAAAATTCATGGGGAAAAACAAGAGAAAAGAAAAAGAGGTACACAAAGCCAGTCTTCACGGGAGCATGATCGATAAGATCTAAAAAATACGAACAACCCAGAGGCTCATCTGCTTAGGACTACATGGCAACCAGCTACTGTCACAACCTCAGAAACAGCTAAGCAGTATGAACCCAGAGTCTTAGAGCAAGGTCCTGTCAAATGTTTTTGTTTTTATTTTTTGTTTTTGTACCAAGGATTGGACCCAGGGGCGCTTTACCACTGAGCCACATCCCCACCTCTTTTCTTCTATTTTATTTAGATACAGGGTCTTGCTAGATTGCCTAAGGCCTTGCTAAATTGATGAGGCTGGCTTTGAACTCACGATCCTCCTGCCTCAGCCTCCCAAACCACTGGGATGACAGGCCTGTGTCACTGGGTCCAGCAGCATGCCCATTTTTAACTTCTAGCCTCCAGAACTGTGAGGCAATATTTTTTTTTTCTCCTTGAACTGCTTGGGTTGGGGTTCTTTGTTTTGGCATCCGTAGGAAACTAATACAGCCAGCAAACAGATCATTAGCAGGTAGTGCCTCTATACGGTAGAGTCCTCTTCTGCAATAAATAGGAAGGAACGTCTGGTTCGTGCTACAAGGTGGATGAACCTTGACGCCAGACACAAAAGGCCACATCTTGTGTGATTTCATTTATAGGGAATGTCCTATAAAAGCAAATGCATAGAGACAGAAAGCAGATTAGGGGTCACCCAGGGCTGGGAGCGGCACTGGTAATTTACTGCAGGTGGGCTTCCGGGGTCTTATTGGGATGCTAGAAATAGTCCCAAACTGAGTTATGTGGACAGCTGCAGGCCTCAATGAAATTGCTAAAATTCATCGAATTATACTCTTAAAATGGGTGAATTTTTGGTATGCAAGTTAAATCTCAACCAAAGCCATTTTTAAAAATGTCATAAAAACAGTGAGAAATGAGTCAGAAAAAAATTTTTTTTTGTTCTTGTTGTTTTGTTATTAGGGATTGAACTCAGGGGCACTCGACCACTGAGCCTCATCCCCAGCTCTATTTTGTACTTTATTTAGAGACAGGGTCTCACTGAGTGGCTTAGGGCCTCACTAAGTTGCTGAGGCTGGCTTTGAACTCGCCATCCTCCTGCCTCAGCCTCCTGAGCTGCTGGGATTACGGGCGTGCACCACCACAACGGCTCAGAACAAGTTTTGAGAGGAGATTTTAGTGGAATAGGCTGGGCCCATAGTCCAATATGACTATTGTGTCCTTAGAAAGACCCACAGGGAGAAGGTCGCGTGACCACAGACCCTACCGCAGCTCCAAGTTAGGGGACGCTGCAGGTTGACAGCCACCACCAGAGCTTCAGAGCAGCAGAGGTGTTCTAGGCACAGGGCTTTGGAGACCCCTGCAAGCTACAGAGTAGGGCACCTGGAGGGGACGAGAGGGCCGCAGGAATGGGGACAGCATCCAGGGAGGGCAGACTCCCAGCCTAGACCTTCACAGGTAGGATTCTAGGGTGGGGAAGTAGCAGTTCCGAGGTCCAGAACATTGATATTTTAGTCCAACAAAGTTGTATGACATAGATTTGTTCCTTGGTATGATTTTCACAGACAATCTCCAGGTCACGTTTCTAGAAATGGATGCGCTGGGGAAACGCCCGGTGGCTTCTGAGACACCCTTGTCCCTGGCATTTTTTACCTTATGGTCTCATCTCCCTCCAGAACGTGACACACGGCAGGGCGGAGTGTCGTGGTCCCCTGGGAGGACAAGAGACCTCTGGGTCCCCAGGCAGATCTTTCTTTAATCAGCGCCGCTCTCGGGGGCACCCAGCCACACACACCCCACTAAGAGGTGCGAACTCGCCGGCTGTGCTCAGAGTCATGCCCCTGATATTTATGGGACGATGGATGATTCAGCGGATCAGGCTGTTTGTCAGCGAGTTGGCAGCGGCGTGGGAAGGCTGGTGTCAGCAGGCGCCGCACCACCTCCAGGCCAGTTCTGGGCAAGAGCAAAACTGAGGTGCAAGCCAGCTCAGGAGGCGGAGACGGCCAGGAAGGGAGGAAAGCCCCTGTCCTGGGGACACGTCAAGCCCAGATCCCGTGTGCTGGGGTTTTAGAGGGTCATCCGCTGCAGTGACGAAAGGACCGGAGTGAAAGATGGAGATGAGGGGTCAGGGCCTGAGTTTTTACCTTGAACCCTGGTTCACTGGCTGGTTGAACCCCTTTGAGGCTGCAGCCTAATTGCAGAAGGAAGGGATCCTTCTGGAGTGTGATTTCGCTCTTTGGAGGAAAGACAGGCATTGCTTCAGTGGTTTCCTAGCTGCAATTTCCTCTTTCAAAAGTATACATCTGTGTCAGGCGCTGTGGTGCACGCCTGTAATCCCAGCGGCTCGGGAGGCTGAGGCAGGAGGATCGCGAGTTGAAAGCCAGCCTCAGCAACAGCGAGGAACTCAACAACTCAGGGAGACCCTGTCTCTAAATAAAATGCAAAATAGGGCTGGGGATGTGGCTCAGTGATGGAGTACCCCTGAGTTAAATCCCTGGTACCAAAAAAAAAAAAAATGTGCATCCATCAGACCCAGATGAAAAACACCAAAGAAATAATGTCAGAGTCCCTCCAAATATAAATACCCTCTCTGGCATTCTGGAAAAGGAACATAAAAAAAACATTTAAAAAAAAAAAAAAAAACCACAACCCTATGCTTGAGTTTGTGCTTTTGATAACATACCTTATAGCCAATCTAGCTACATGATCACCATGTAACACTTATAGGTGACTTTTTTTTTTTATGAATTGAATAGATCCTCTTCATGTCTCTCAGTCTCTGAAACGGCAGATGGAAAGGGTCTAAGAGATGAGCAAAATCGTCTCTCCTTGTGAGTGCACCTGGGCCCATTCGGTCCTTACTGTTAACCTCTTCTTGTGAACCCTCTGTCTTTTCCTTGGGGCGATGGGGAGCCCAGGGCAGAGATGGAGTGCAGAGTCAGGACATGGTACAGTGATCTAGATAATGGCAAATACTTTACTGGCACTATTGAATCAGAAATCAAGGAGAGTGACCCGAAATTGGACAGGAATGACTATATCAAAACAAGGAGAGAGACAGTAGACAGAGCCAAGAATGTATGGATAGGAAAGAATCGGTAAGTATTTAGGATGCGCCAAAGTGGGAGAGAAGGCTTTCAAGGTCAGCCATGGGTTAAGGCTGTCAGAACTTAAAGGTTTTTTTTTTTTTTTCCTGTAGATGCTTCTTATTTTTACATCAGTTCAGAGCATAATAACAACCCAAGCTTTTGATGCCACTTTGCACGCACTAATTAATGATTAATTAACATGAGTCTTGGAAGTGAAAGTAAAAATTTGCGATCACAGAAAGAAGGCACCAAAAAAATTTGATTTTTTTAAATATATATGTTTGTTTGTATTTTGTTTTTTTATACCAGGGATTGAACTCAGGGACACTCGACCACTGAGCCCCGTCCCCAGCCCTATTCTGTATTTTATTTAGAGACAGGGTCTCACTGAGTTGCTGAGTGCCTCCTTTTGGCTGAGGCTGGCTTTGAACTCACGATCCTCCTGCCTCAGCCTCCCAAGCCACCGGGATGACAGGCGTGCGCCACCACACCTGGCTGCAAGTATTTTTTTTTTTAACTATCTTTACAAATTTTATTTTTTCCCACCCTGTGATTCCGAAAAAAGGTGACTTTCCTGGTGACTCAGACTTTATCAATCTTTTATTTTCATGATCACCTTTAAAGAAGTCTTTTTCGAGAAGCGAAGTTGGGTGCATAGAGAATAGAATCCTAGGCAGATGGTGTGGCTCTGTGAGACCAAGTCTTCTCTCGCAGTAACCGGGAGAAGGGCCACAATCTCATGGACCTGCTTCGAATGAAGGAATTCACTGTGCACCTCATGGTGTGCGGGAGCAGCCTGCGTTGTCTCAAAAACACTTGAGTCCGTTTTAAAAGAGCCTCTGAGACTCAGCTCTTCTGTTTGTTTGCAGGGGTGATGGGGGAATACGAGCCCAAAATCGAAGTGCAGTTCCCAGAGACCGTCCCGACTGCCAAAGGAGCCACCGTCAAGCTAGAGTGCTTTGCTTTAGGAAAGTAAGTTCTACTTATAGTCCCTCCCTTCTGCTGGGGCAGGTGTAGAGTTATCCTTACGCTGTTCACGGGCATGGCTTCCGCAGGGGACTGAAAAGCCAGTCAACCCCTTCTGTGCAATTCTGCACGTGCCTCTTGGATTGTGTCCACACCCAGACAGACACAGGTAATGGCCAGAAGCTTAAGTTAAAAGGCCCCTGTTGATGTGGTTGCAAAGAGGAGGAGAACGGGCAATTCTGAAAAAGTGTTTTGTTCTATTATTCTGACCTGTAGTGTGCATGCTATCCACCCCAGAACGACAGGAAAAAGTGGCCTTGAGGTACAAGAAAGCCAACAATTTGGGAAAATATGGACATATATGTTTTGGCCCCAGTTTGAATTTCTTTTAAAATTGAACTCAGGGGCACTCAGCCACTGAGCCCCATCCCCAGCCCTATTTTTGTGTTTTATTTAGAGACAGGGTCTCACTGAGCTGCTTAGGGCCTGACTTTTGCTGAGGCTGGCTTTGAACTCACCATCCTCCTGCCTCAGCCTCCCGAGCCACCGAAGGATTGATGACAGGTGTGCACCATCATGCCGGGCTGCTTATAATCTTTTTAAAAAATCATTTAAAAAGTGATTTTTGTGTTCTACGTTAACTGCAGAAAATATTCCTTATTTTTTTTCATTGTATATTCAGTTCTAATGGTTTCCCCTGTGTTTCCAAATCACGGCAATATCAACGACAAAGCAGTATCTTTATTTTGGTGTAGTACAATACGATGATGATTTTTTTTCCATGTCCCGAAGACTTGCCGTATGAAATGAATTATGACACGCCTGCAGGATGATACACCGCACAGACACTTAAAGTCAAGTTGAAAAACATGTAAGACATAGAAAACGCCCGTGATTTATGGCTAAGGGAGTTAAACCAGGTTGCTCACCAAGTACACCGTGGTTGTGTTTTTAAAATTCGTCTTTATTTTCAAGTGCATGTGTGAGGTTAGTTGGAGAAAAGTTCAGAGCAGGTAACCGGATCATCGGGGTTGTGTGTGTGGTGAGATGGGTAAAGGAGACCCCTTGAAAGGCCTTCAGTTCCCTTGAGCACTTCAAAAGGGGGCTAGGAATTAAAGTCTATTCACGGTGCTTGAATGGCTCCTAGAATAAAAACAAAAGGCACAAATTGGGCTCCTCTCTTGCGCGGGGAGATGTTTGGGTCTGCCCAAGGAGCTGCTGAAATAAGTAGAGTTATTTTTAAAGGCCCAGGATGAAGTGTGCATCTCATTGGAACGGGAGGCTATCCATAATACACTTTCAATAGAGCCTTTCCGCAATCGGAGCTCCGTGTCTCTCTAATGAATTTAAAATTCTTCTAAAACAAATATAGTGGAGTGGATGGCTTTAATTTTTTTAAATACCATCTCAGGTTTCCCAGAGAAGATTAGCAAGTCTTTTCGTCTAATTACTTCTCGGTGAGTGTTTTTGTGACAAAAATAAATAAGTAAATAATTATATCCCCTGCTAGGAAGCTGCAGTCTTCAAAGCTGTGGTTAACTTGCTGAAGCCATCGATTTGCAGGCTCCATGATACCCTCCTTGCAGTTTAGGCTGTCTCCTAAATAGTTATGGCCGGGGCATGATGGATGTCTTGAGAGCACATAAAGACCTCACAGACCCGCTGCTGACTTTATCTCACTATTTTAATTAAAGTTCCTCCATGCCACCTTCCAAATGGAATGCATTAAGTTGATAAGGTTCTCCATATAGAAATGATGTGAACCGTTCCTCCAAGTCAACAGTTGGGCTATATCTCCCAGATTTTCATGAGTTCAGTTATTTCTACTATTATTTCGGTATTTCTCAAGGCAGGGTACTTTCCTTGTTGGGCATGAAATATATGAGTGTATATATATATATTAGCCAGGCACTGTAGTGCACGCCTGTAATCCCAGCGGCTTGGGAGGCTGAGGCAGGAGGATTGCGAGTTCAAAGCCAGCCTCAGCAAAAAGCAAGGCGCTAAGCAACTCGGTGAGACCCTGTCTCTAAGTAAAATACTCAATAGGGCTGGGGAGGTGGCCCAGTGTTTGAGTGCCCCTGAGTTTAATCCCCAGTACCCAAAAAAGAAGAACGTATTGCCTCTGTTGTCCCCAACTAAGAAGAGACAAACATCTCAGATAATAAGCGTCTCATTATCTCTCACTTGATGGGTCCAGAATTGAGGCTGGGCATGGCCAGGTGACTCTCGCTCCATGTGGCACCCCTGAGGTCCCAGTGGCCGTAAGCTGACAGATCAGGTGGTGTTGACAGCTTGGGAGAGTCGCACCCCTACTTCTGGTGTCTCGGTGAGGATGTTGGAAAGCTGAGCTCACAGAGATCGTCGGCGGCTCTGCATGGTGGTCTCAAAGTCCCAGGTGCCTCACGGACAGGGTTCTAAGACCCCAAAACTACAGGCTGCAGTTTCTTAATGCCCAAGCCTAGAAATTGGCCCGGCATCCCTTCTTCTTTATTTAACTATCACAGTAGTCGGTTCAAGGGTTGGGAGCAGAGACCTCATCTCAGCAGAAGGAATGTGCAGGTATTTGCAACCATCTTCATTCCACTTCCAATCACCTGAATATTTCTATTTTAATATCTATGACTCTGAAAAAAAATATGTTAGGAAAAAAATATAAGAAACATTTAAAAATTTCTTTTTTTATTTTAGTGGTACAAGTGCATGGGAGATAGATTCCCTACTGAAGTTTAAGAAATCTTATCTGAGTTTAAGAAAACACAAAGAATACCAGAGATGGATATGATATTTTTTAATTGGTTTTATTTTTGTGACTACATGATAGTGGAATGCATTACAATTCTTAGTACACATATAGAGCATGATTTTTCATATCTTTGTATATAAAGCATGTTCATGCCAATTCATGTCTTTATGTATGTACTTTGAGGGGTTTTTTTTGCATTATATTTCTATTACACATATATATCACAGATTTTTATATCTCTGTTTGTATATGAAGTAGGTTGACATCCAATGAAGACATCTTGTCTTCATACATGTGCTTTGGATGATAATGTCCATCACATTCCACTGTCCTTGATAATCCGCTACCCCCTCCCTTTCCCTCCTACCCCTCTGCCCTATCTAGTGTTCGTCTATTCCTCCCATGCTCCCCCCTACTCCACTAAGAGTCAGCCTCCTGATATCAGAGAAAACACTCAGCATTTGGTTTTTTGGGATTGGCTAACTTCACTTAGCATTATCTTCTCTAACTCCATCTATTTACCTGCAAATGCCATGATTTTATTCTTTTTTATTGCTGAGTAATATTCCATTGTGTGTATATATACCACATTTTCTTTAATCCATTCATCCACTGAAGGGCATCTATGTTGGCTCCACAGTTTAGCTACTGTGAATTGTGCTGCTATAAACACTGATGTGGCTGTGTCCCTGTTGGTGTCCTGGTTTTAATGATGTTAATGGTAACATAAAATAAATGAAGTTCGGCGAACACTCCGGTGAGCTTGCATGTTTATAAACCAAGAAGGCAAGGGCTGTGGGGACAGATTCTAACTCAATTCGCTTCTTTGCATTCTTGCCATCAGCCCGGTGCCAACGATCGTCTGGCGAAGAGCCGACGGGAGGCCCATCGCCAGGAAAGCCAGAAGACACGAGTCCAATGGAATTCTCGAAATTCCCAATTTTCAGCAGGAGGATGCCGGCGTCTACGAATGCGTGGCCGAGAACTCCAGGGGCAAAAATGTAGCCAGGGGGCAGCTGACTTTCTATGGTGAGTTGGCGGTTCCAGTCTGGCATTCGAGATCCCTGTAGAACGTCTTGGTATTAAAAAAAAAATAAATCACGTCAGATCATATATTAAAAGCACTTTTCAGTTAGGCTGGTCTTGTAGGCACCGTGCAGAGAAAGCCTGTGCACACCTCTCCGCCGGCTCCATGATCAGCCTTCCCTGGATAATTCTGGGTGTGGATAGTGTGGATGGGGTGGGGGGTGGGCGCAAGATGTTGTGGGAGCAGAAAGGAAGAAATTAGGCTGCTGTGTTTGGGGCTGGAGGTGAGTGTGAACACACTTTCAGAGGAACCTGTTTCTCGTCTTCCCATCAAAGCTGTAAACTCAACACAGGAAACAATCTGTTATTCCTGCTCCTGAATTAAAAAAAAAAAAAAGAGAGAGAGTTCTATGCTTCATCCCAAGGCTTGTGTGACTCCTGGGTCTTTGGTCCTTATTGGTCGCTATTTAGGGTGGTACCGTGAACATTTCAGAATGCACGCGGTCCCCATTGAGTCCTCCTCAGAGCGGAGCGTGACACATCTCTGTCACCCCCCCAAGGACTCTGTAGGAACAGCTGCTTGTGTTCCCATCAAAGCCCCGGCCTTGATCCAAACATCAGATCCGTGTACAAAGCGTCCAGCCTGGTGGCCGTCACTGAGTCCACCTTGGACACCCTGTTAGGGTGTCCATCTGAAATTCAGTAAAGGATTTCGCTGGACGGGCATTTTGAAAGAAAAAAAAAAAGAATTGAGTTCTGTCCAGTTGGGCCACGTCTCCCTCCCCTCTCTGTGGGGCCTGGGAAATGAACATCACAGATGGACCATGGTTTAAGAAGGGTCCTAGTCTAACATTGTGGCATGTCACAATGATGAGAGCGGTGGTGGCTGGCCACAGCTTGGGACCTTTTTGATCCATGACCTTCCGCGATCTGGACTCTGATCGCCCGGACACAGGGTGTTCAGGGTTCTAGAAAGTTCTTCACCGGACGGGCCAAATGACAGTCGTTTGAATAAACCTGCGCTTCTCTTTAATCGTTCATGTCCCCGTGCGTACCAAAGGACGGACGTGATAAGTGTCCTCTGCACTTTCTTAACTGAGGGTAGATGATATGGTTTTTGGTTGAAGAGTGAAAGATACCACAGTCAACTCACTGGAAAAACATCAGACTGAAGAAACTATGAACCATAGGAATGAACGTATTCCTTTATTCCGTGAGATGCGATGGCTGTGTCTTTTTAACTGTTTGGGTTTCTTTTTTTTTTTTTTTCTCACGGTATCATAATTATTTCTTCTGTGTCAGGGAGTTTATTTAGGTCATTGGGGACTTTAAAACCTGAGTTTATTTAAAAGGTAATCGGGGAACCTTGTCTCCTCCTCCTTCACGGAATAGACTTCTCCGCTTACGGGTGCTGGTTCCCAAATGTCATCTAAGCTGCTCCAACTGATCCAACGAAGTCATCGTCACCTCCATAATTCCCCTTTTAAGGGGGAAGCCCGCTTTTTCTGTTGGTTACAAAGAGGTGACACTTTCTGTGACCCAGGGCTTGGCACACACGCAACTTTTCCTAGGGGTTCGAGATTTTTCCTGCTCTGGAAATGACAGCCACCTGCAGTGACCGTGATGGAGAGGTTGCTTTGTCACTAGGTCCCGAGCAACGCTGTGTCTTTTCAGGGACCCTGTCCTAGAGATGAAAATCAGGTGCTCACGGCGCCTGCCTTTTAAATAAAGTCATCTGCTAAGTGCTTGGCTGTCATTCCCCGCCCCTCCACTCTCTTTCTGTCTGTCTCTTTATTTTTTAATCTGGACCTACCCAGCGCTCTATTTCCAACACCCAGCTGCCCATATCTCCAAGTTAAACGAATTATCATAATCAAAACCACACTGTCGATTCCCCCCAAAAGGGGAGCAGGTAGCCCCCGTCACTTATCCACGAACCGCCTGTCTCCGTTGACAAGAGAGATTCTTAGGTGAAGGTGTCTGCTAGTTCCTGGAGGAGATCACCATGAACTTGGGCTTGGAAACCTCCGTTTCTTGATCGATTTTAGGTTTTCACGTTCCACTTCTCAGCTCTGCACGTTGGTAGCCGCACGGGGGCCCTGATGACTCTCCTGGTCTGGCTGCATGGGACCTTTTCCCTTCTTCTCCCAGTCAAACTATTCACCTTTCTCCAAAGACATCCTGAGTGCCGCAGCAGGATTCTGGCCCTCCCTGGTCAGCACCAGGGACGCCCCTGTTTCTGGCTGCTGTGTTCCCGTGGGGCCCGTGTCCGTGGGTCAGCCTGTGCCACTTGGGTCGGGCACACGAGGACAACTGAGCCGAGTTCAGCCACAGAACGTCTTCACCCCACCCCCTCGTCCCAGTGCATTTGGTCCTGACCTGTACGTGGCCCTGCACAGCCTAGTTCCAATCTGCTCTTTCAGCCATTTTTTTTCCATTTGAAAAACTTCCTAAAAACAGATATGTTTTCCAGAACAAGACCGTGACGGATCTTTGTTCCTAAAGGTAGAAATTGACTGAAAGGACTTTAGTACGTCATTCATTGACTCGACAAATCCCTTCCCGTTGCCCACCCTGGGGCGGGCACTGTTGGGTACCAGGGCTGCAAGACAAATCTGTGCCCTCCAGGACCTGATGTGTCACGAAAAGTTTCACTAAAAGACAAGGTGCTATTGAGCAAATGAATGAGCTAGAAATTTTCATTTTGCAGTCAGAGTTAGGAAGAATCTGTTTGTTATGATAGAAAGTAACTAGGAGCAAGAGAAAGGCTTCATAAGATAAAGTAGTTACTTGGCTTCCAAGAAGTTGTACCTTCTGGCAGAATGTAAGGGCATGCAAAGGCCCTGAGGCAGAAAACTATCTGACCCGTTTGAGATGCATCAAGGATACCAGGGTGACTAAATCATGATGGGTGAGGGCCCAAGGTTTGAAACAGAGGCAGGTGACAGAGAGTACCTTCCAAGCCTGGTGCAGGTGGGTTTTACCCAGAGTACCCTGGGAAGCCACTGGAGGTTCATGCTTTGAAAACCCCACTCTGTTTGCTTTGGGGAGAATAGATTACTGAGGACCAACCCTAGAAACAGGTCATTCAGGAAGCCATCACTAGTACCTGGGTGAGAGATATCGGTGGCAAGGTCTCAAGGGAAGAAAAAAAAAAAAACTTAGAAGATGGGAGAGGTATTTGGGAGTTAGTCCATAGGAGTTTCTTAGATAATTCATATAGTTTATAGACGAAGAAACTGACTCCCCAAAGAGATTGTGTGATTCAAGTTTACATGGTGAGAAGCAGAACTAGGCTCCCAAGGCTACTCTGCAGCCTCTGAGACTTCCTGTTGCATCAGGAGAACTTGGAAGTCTTATAAAAATACAGAATACTGAGCACTGTGCAAGAGATTTTGATTTGGTAGGTCTGGGCGAGGATGTAAAAATTTGCATTTTGATTCATTCCCCAGGTAATGCCCATGCTGCTGGTCTGGGGACCCCGTGGTGAGCGCCATCACCCTGTGCTAGGCAATCCCAATGCTACAGTGAGGCTCAGGTTCGATTCCATTCAGGAGCCAGGCACGGTGGTGCACGCCTGTCATCCTAGCAGCTCAGGAGGCTGAGGCAGGAGGATCTCAAGTTCAAGGCCAGCCTCAGCAAAAGGGAGGCTGCTAAGCGACTCAGGGAGACCCTGTCTCTAAATAAAATACAAAAAAAAAAGGCTGGGGAGGTGGCTCAGGGGTCGAGTGCCCCTGAGTTCAATCCCCAGTACAAAGAAAAAAGAAAAAACTTCCACGCAGGAGAAGGTAATTCTATTCTTGCTGTCCCTTGGACATTGCAGCCAGTCTATACAGACAAAGGAGAAGAGGGGGGTGCTAGAGCAATTAGCTTTGAAGCAAGGAGAGGAACGTCTAAAATGGGACTTAATTCAGTGGATAATTGCTCATCTTTCCACCTTACTGTGTCTATATTCCCGTTTGAACCAAGTGACTGATAGAATTATAGTCATCATTGAAAAGAAAGAACCCGACTGAAAGAACCCGGTATTTAGAGCCTTTTGTACACCTTCTCCTACACCTGAGTGCCACCGTGGGGGTGAAGCCAGCTCATCACTCAGAAATAGGGAGCACGGCATCTTAGTAGTAAACCAGCCTTGACTTCACAGGAGTGGGAAGGAACCCTCTGATTTTCAAAAATAAAGAAAATAAGGCCCAGAGACATTGAAGTAACCCCATCACCCAATGACTGGGAATCGGAGCCAAGACGAGAAGCAGCTTTCTCCTCTTAGCACGTGCATTGCTTTTCTGACCCCAAGAAGGGGTCAGAAAAGGGAAGGGAGGTCAGGGAAAAATCCGTCCGTCACCCGTATCCTCTCTCTTCGAGTTTCCACGGCCAGAATGCATTCCCAGATGAAGACGTGCAGACGAACAGTGGAGAGGGATCCGTTTGCTTTCTGTTTTCTGATCTGTCCACCTAAATGTTGAGTTCAAATGGTTTCCTTCTTTTTCTTCATCTTCTCTCAGTTACATGCAAGCTATACTTCTAGACCTTAGATAAGCAAAACCGGCCCAGTGTGGTGGTACACGCCTGTAATCCCAGCAGCTTGGGAGGCTGAGGCAGGAGGATCCTGAGTTCAAAGCCAGCCTCCGCAATTTAGCAAGGCCCTAAGCAAGTCCGTGAGACCTTGTCTCTAAATAAAATACAAAAGAAGGACTGGGGATGTGGCTCAGGGGTTAAACACCCCTGGGTTCAGTACCTGGTACCAAAAAAAAAAAAAAAAAAAAGAAATCAATCCGTATTAGCCTAGAGTCCTAGCTTGGTTAATCTGGGTAGAACTGGGCTGAGTAAATCAGACTTAAGGCTTCTTTTTAAAAACGAATATATTGCTGATTTTTTTTTTTTATTTTATGACTCCTTCATGAGGTTCTGAACTGCTCATAGCACCTCTGGGAAGAAAAGAGAATCTGTCTTTTCTAGAAATTGGTTAACAATCAATGAGTTTAACCACAACGTAAGGAAAT